CACCGCCTCCTTCGCCTCGACGTCCGCGCCCTCGTTCCCGGCAATGCCGACATGTCCCAGCGACCAAGACAGACTTCCTGGTGCGTTTGAGCTTGTCGAACGCCTGCCAGATTGCGAGGCAGAGGTGCTGGCCGGAAAACGGGGTTGGGTCGGTCGAGTGGGCGAGAGCGGAGGTGATGTCGAGTGAAATGAGGACAGAGAGGGTTGTGTCAGCGGTTGGTGTGATGAGGAGGCTGGCCAGAGCGAGCCGCAGTCCCTCGAGTTCGCCCATGTAGACTGTCTGAAGCTGACCCATTCCCTTCCTCCCGCTGCCACAGCTCGGTCTCGACCTCTTCCTTCTCCGCCAACTGTATCTTACCGCCATCCCAGAGCTTTGCCGCTACCCCTGCACCCATGAACCCTCCGTTGCCCATGGACCCGTCCAAGTAGACAAGGAGGGAGCCTGGCCGGAGACGACGAGCAAAGGTCTGGGTCAGCATCAGACGGTGTACGCGGGAGAGCTGCAGGGGATCCTCCTTGCGCTCCAGGCAGTCCAATACACCGCTGACGCGCCTTCGCACGTCCTCATTTCCGTTGACAACACGTGCGCCCTCACCCACTCGACAGACCCATCGCCGACATCCGGACAACACCTCCGCCTCGCCATCCGCCAGATGTTCGAAGACCTCCAACGCACCTTAGTGAGCACCCAGATCCTCCTCAGCTGGTCGCCAGGCCACGTCGGTGTTGCAGGGAACGAAGTTGCCGACATGATGGCGAAGGAGGCTGTGCGGAGGTGGGAGTCAGCGGCGCGCGAACGGGAGCAGCGGAAGGAGCGCAAGACGCACCTGAAGGGTCGTCTGGTCTTCACACCGGACATGGCGGAGCTGTCGAGTGGGTCAAGTGAGGAGGAGAGCGAGTGGGAGGAGGACGAGCGAGGAGGCCGGTCGACCCGCCATCTCGCCAAGTCGGCCCGCCTCACACAGCTCAGCGACGACGGCCCGCCAGGCTCTCGCTCCGTCTCTCAGCTGCCCGCTAGTATCTCGGCGCTATGGACTGCTCACAAGCAGGCGACGCGCGCGCGGTGGGATGAGGAATGGCGCCGCTCCACCGTCGGCCGCCAACTCTTCGCTGCGTCACCACTCGCCTCTCGCTCCGCCAAGTACTATGACGGGCTCAGCCGCCGCCAAGCAACCCTCCTCTGCCGTCTCCGCACCGGCGCCTCCTCTCTCAACGGCTACCGCGCCAAATTCGACTCATCGCGCGACCCGCTCTGCGAATGCGGCGAGGAGGAAGACCGAGAACATCTCCTGCTCGCCTGCCCGCTCTACGACGAGGCTCGCAAGTCGCTCCTCAAGCACATTCGCCTGCGAAAGACCCCAACCGCCGGCCAACTGCTTGGCAACCCTTCCTACCGCAACGCTCTACTCGACTTTCTCGACCGCACCGGACGATTCCCGCAACTTTTGAGGTCGCCTGAGGCGGAGAAGAAGGATATGGAGTAACGGCCGGGAGAAGACACGAAGGGTGCGCTCAGACGACCGTCAGCATCGCCCTTTCCACCTCCCCCTCCTCCTTTTCGAGTTCCTCTCCCTCAAAACCCCACCGATCCGCCCCCAACACACACACCGACTCCACAGCACCCCTATGTACCCCACGACAACGTCGTGACCCGCCCCGGCCTCGGTGGAACCCGTCGCCGCCGCTCTTCCAGATCAAGACGAAGAACTTTCTTTTCTCGCTCATTTCGTGTTTGTTTCGCTCCGTTTCAGTTTCCCCTGACTCAACACATACCCCTCCATCTGTCTAATCGCCTCGCTTTGCCCCATTTTCACTCGCCATTGTTCTATCCCGTTTCTTGACCATTCCTTCCTTTCGTCCACTCCTAACGCTCTTCTCGCCATGCCTGTTAACTCCGTTGACTCCCACCCACCAGTAGCGCGCACCCATTCTCACTGTTTTGTGCTGTGGCAGCCAGTCTCTGCCGGTCACCATGGGCTTAGACCCGACTCGACTTGAAACAAGAACCTCTCTCTCTCTCTCTGGCCGGAGGGCGTGCTCCACGTCTCGAGTTCTTTTCCTCGGGCCAAGTCAACTTGAGGGCCGGGGTCGGGCAACCATGGCGGAACTGGGTCGGGGTGGATGGTTTCGATGACGAGTTCAGGAGGAGCGGATTGGTGAGGGCAAGGTCGAGCGGGGAGCGGTGGGGGGCATGGATTGGGCGGCAGCGGGCTGCGATATTGTATGCATGGAGCAGACAATGGAGGGGCGGAGAGGGCACGGAGAGCGAGGCGGAAGAGATGTTTTTGGAGTTGGAGGTGAACTGGCAGAAGCCCGGCCTCGATCTTGAGGGCTTCTCCCGCTGCCAAGCGGGATCCACCTGTGACTGCCATTGCCGCCGTCTTCTGAACCCGTACTAACTCCTTCAACTTGTCCTTCCCTTTCGCAGGATCGAACCAGCTCGCCAACGCCCACATGATCCTCGGCCAGAATGGGCCTAGGCCCAATATGACTTGACAAAAAAAACTTCTCTCTCTCTCTCGGCCAGACGCACGCCACAACCAGCTGCCATGACCATTTCGGCGCGAGGCCGGCTTTCGAGCGGGTGAGGCGGGAGATGGCGGTTGTCAAGACGGTTGCACGGGCGGCGCAGGCGGAGATGTGGTTGCAAAAGGTGAGTCTCGAGTCGATCTTCGTTCCGAGCATCGTCAGGGCGGGTTTGAATTCGATGGGGTGGCCTCGTAGGACGACTTGAGGGGGTTTCTTGGGCATCTCGCGGGCAGACGAGAGGAAAATCGTCGCTTCGGTCTTCGTCAGTTCGAAGGCGGATGAGTGCAAGTCCGACCACGACTTGAGTTCTGGGACAAGCGAGTCCATTGCGCTGACAGCTTTGTCAATCGTCTTACCCCTCCCCACCACGCCGAGGACGGCAGCGAAGTCACAGGCCGCTCGTTCGCTGCGGTTACTGCCCGGCCTGCTCCTCTGCCCGCCTGGCCACGCCCCGAACCCGCCCCGGCCTTGCCCAAGAAACCCGTTGCTGAGCCGGCCACCCCCCGCAAGCCACCTCGTCCACCTCTACGCCCAGCCCGGCCTTGGCGTCCGAGAGGTCCGTCAGACCCTCGCAATGCCCGAAACTATCCCCACAAGTCGTACAAGCAAGGGAGACGTACTGGTTCGGATGCCTTCCGCCTCAGCTGCCGCCCACCTCCGAGTTGTCGCCGCCGCCGCTCAGCTCGCTCCCGCCTCCCCGCTCTGGCTGTTTGAAATTGTCGCGCATGGCATGCCGAGGGTAGAAGAAGCGGAAGAGATGTTGATTGAGGGATTGGAGAAGAGGATAGGCGAGGGCGGAGTGCGCTCGGTGCGCTGGCTCCCGAGCAGGAAGAGGGAGGCTCGCTTCGGGTCAATGATGGCGGTCCTGTGGAACGACAAGATGGTCAGCAGGATTACTAAGGGCAACGGAGACCTCTGTATTGACTCAGCAGTCTGCGTGAGGTGCGAGAAGGCGAGAGGGAGGAAAGAGATGACGCACGGGGAGGAGGCAGGCAAGCCGGCGGAGAAGGTCGCGGGAGGCGCCAAGGCGACGCTGGCGGATGTGGAGAGCATGCAGAAAGGAGCAGCTGAGGCTCAGGAGCAGAAGGAGCGGGAGAAGGGTGAGGAGAAGGAGGCCAAGGACGAACCGGCTCGCGCAAAACTCGATAAGTCCGGTGGCGGCTCGCTCACAAATTTGCCCTCACTCGTCGGGAACCAACGCAAATTGCCTATTGCAACCACTACAACCTCCTCTACGCCCACGAACCCCTTCGAACCCGTCCTCCCGCCCAACTTGGCCGACTTCTCCATCGATTGGTCCGCAGGAGACGATTTCGGCGCCGTTCTCCACGAGGTCCCGGATTCTGCGGGTGCAATGCGTCAGCAAGTAAGTCACCCTCAAGTCGAGTATGCAGCCCTGACGCTACGCGCGCCTGCGAAGTCAAGCGGAGTTGAAGCCCGCGTCAGCGAGGCGCCCTCTCCCTCCGCAGAAACCGAGAACACACCCTTCTCTCCCTCTCTCCGAGCACCCTTCCATCCACCGCGACGCCTTTGACAGGCGCCTCCGCACCATCCACCTCCGACATGATCCTCGTCGGCAACTCGCCGCTCTCCCCGACACTCGCCGCCTGCCGCCAATCTCTCAAGAAGGACAAGATCTTTCCCTCGCTTTTTCCGGCCTTTGCTTCGTTTTATCCTGGCTTCCTATTGCTTCCCACAGCTGTACGCTCCTCTCCTCTCGTAACTCACGTAGCGCCTGGTGGCTTGCCCTCGTAGGTGGCCCCAAGTCGACATGGGTCTTTCCAGGCCTGAACAACTCTAAACTCGGAATATATCCTATCCTATCCTATCCTATCCTTGCCCTTCCTCGAGTCCGAGACCACCAGCGGGATCTGGTCTCATGTCCCGACACCGCTTGCCAACCGCCCAACCCAGTACCGCCCCATGCCGATAGTCGACTTCGAGCCGACCACGAGCGAGGCGGAGGGCGGGGCGGACCGTTCGTGGGCGGACAAGACCGAGGCGGAATTCCCCATCGCGAAAGCGAAAGAGGAAGGCGGAGAAAAGAAAGAGGAGTCGCGAAAGGTTGACCGGTCGAAGAAGGGGAAGGAGGGAAAGGCGACAAGGGCAACGTTGCTGGCGAAGAACGAGCGAGGGAATGAAGGCGAGGCGAAGAGGAGCGTGCCGCCGAGGGCACGGCGCATTGTCGCACCAGCACAGAAGGAGAAGAGCCTGCCAAGGGAACCAAGTCAGTCGCGCTCGGAGTCCCCCGACCCCCTCGACCTCCTCACCCCTTCCCAATAAATGGAAACACTCACAATCACCTCCTACAACATCAACCGCTCCGAAGAAAACCTCATTTGCCTCCGCAAAAACCCGAACATTGCCACCACCGACCTCCTCCTCATCCAAGAACCCCCACGCCCGCTCAAACCCTCCCACAATCCCAACTGGCAACTTGTCACACCTCCACCAACTGCGCTCCCCGATGGCAAGCCCGCGCCCATCCGCCACCTCATCCTCCTCTCAACCCGCCTCGGACCGGCCGCCGTGACGCAAGTTCCGGTCGTTTCAGGTGACGTCACGACGCTTGACGTCGAGCTGCTGCATGGCGAGAAGATCCGGGTCGTCAGCATGTACAACCCGTGCAACGAGCGCGGAAAGGAAGTACGCTACTTACCCTACAACCACTCTGTCTCGACCATCCTCCCGCCTCTACTTGCCTCAACCGCCGCCATCTCGCTCATTGTAGTCGCCGGAGACTTCAACCTGTCGCATCCGGACTGGGACGAGTTAGTAGGCGAACCGGAGGAAGCAGTACGCACCTTCACCCAACACAACCTCACTCACTGCCTGCCGCCCAACACGATCACATACCACCCTTACAACACGAGGAACCGCAGCAAACCCCTCGAACTTGTACTCGGCTCGCTGCGCGCAGAAGATCGAGTCGTCAGCTGCGGTCTTGCTGAAGATCTCGAGGCCGGATCCAACCATCGTCCTGTTCAACTTGTCCTTGCCCTTGAACACGCCACCAACACCCCTCCCCCACACTGCGCCTTCCGCCGCACCGACTCCATCGTCCTCGAACGGGCATTCCTTGACGCAACTGCCCGCCTTCCCACCTCGCCGCTCCTCTCGTCCGCCGACATCGACAAGCGCACGGAACAACTCACCAATGCCCTTCAAACCGCCGTCTCGGCCGCAATGCCCCTCACCTGCGCGCGAGCCGGCCATGTCGTACCGTGGTGGGACAAGGAGCTCGCAGAAGCGAGCAAGTTGGCGAAGAAGGCGGCGAACCGAGCGTTCCGCCTGCGAGGCATGGCAGGGTGCGAAGTCGAAGTCGAGTTTGCAGAGAGGGAGAGGAGGAAGAGGCAAAACGAGATGAAGAAGTTGATGAAGGGGAAGAGGGAGAAATGGGACGAGCGTGAACTGGCGGAGGTGAAGGAAGCGACGCTGTGGACAATGGTCAAAAAGAGGATCAACAACGCGGCACCCGCCAACACGACAACCCCCCCTCCGAAAGGGAAACGCAACGTACGCGACTTCGCCCGCTGACAAACTTGACCTCCTCCGCCCCCTCCTCCTGCCCACCATCTCAGCCGATGCCTCCATTGCGCCAAAGTCCCCCCAGCAAACCCCCGCAACCCACCAAACCCAACCTCCGCCCGGCCGCAATCCTGACTTCCCAACTTTGCGCTGGCCGGAACCGCAACCTGCGAAGGAGGGACAAGGGAGGAGAGCCAGCGGAGTGCAAGTAAGCCTCGAGTTTATTGTCCACCCCGCTACTTGCAAAGCAGACGACCGCTGCGCAAGCGAGCCAGAACGCACCTCCGCAGAAACGACCACAAGGACGAAGACGACGACAACGGCGACGACAAGGTGTGGGAAAAGGATACAAGGGAGGGATCTGGCAACAGCGGGACGTAGGAGGACTGTCCAAGGACCACAACCACGTTGACCCTCACCCACCCAACCTCATCTTTGACTCTCTCTCGCCCAATTCGTCCTCGATCCGCCGGGCCCCGGGCTCGGCAACTACCTGTCATCATCCTCTACCACATGACCCGCCCACATCCCACCCCCGCCGTTGTCGCCGTCGTCGCCGTGGTCCAGGAAGGTCAAGATCAAAAAGGGCATTATCTCGATGGTTTCTCAACATTTTGGCTTCGTTTTTTGTTCCTCCTACCCTGCACACCCTCTTTTATCGGCTCACCACGCCGCACCCTGTCATCTTCACTTCTCCCCATTCTGCCGCACCTTCTCACGCTCTCACTTACTTGTTCGCTCCAATGTACTCACTCATCTATTTCTCCACTTCCTACCGCCTAACCACATCAGTAGATACCCCACTCAACCCGTTATGCGCTGTGGTGACCAGACTTCACCGGTCTACATGGGCTTAGCCCCGATATGACTTGAAAAAAGGAACTTCTCTCTCTCTCTCTCTCTCTCTCTCTCTCAAGCCCGCCCCTTTGCCGCCTGTGGCCCCAACGACATCCCGGATTACGTCCTCCAGCTCCTCCTGCCACTCCTCCTCCCGCACCTCGTCCCCCTCCACCGCGCCTCGCTCGCCCTTGGCCACATCCCTCGCTCATGGCGCGACGCCTCCTGCATCGTACTCCGCAAGACGAAGAAACCCGACTACCGAGACCCAAAAGCGTACCAGTTGATCGCCTTTGAGCGCTGCGTCGCCAAAGCCCTCGAGCAGGTAGTCGCTGCCCGCCTTGCGCACCTCGCCGAGACGCACGCCATGCTGCCGAACTCGCACTTCGGCGGGAGGAAGCGCCGGTCGGCCAAGGACGCGGTAGTCTGCGTGATAGATGAGATCAAAGGTCAGTGGCGGAAAGGGAATGCGGTTGTCGGGCTCGCTCTTGACGTCTCCAAGGCGTTCCCGATTCGAGGTCTGCCCGAGCCCGCCTGCGACTGATCCGCTCCTTCTTGAGCGAGCGCTCCTGCACTCTGCAGCTCGAAGGCATCGTCAGCGAGTCAATCGAATGGACGAGCGGACTTCCGCAAGGCTCACCGCTATCGCCTATCCTCTTCCTCACGTACAGCGCCCCCCTACTCGATATCTGCAAAACATTGACAACCTGCGGCTTTGGGTGGATCGACGACGTCAACATCCTGGCGTGGGGTAAGACGGTGGAAGAAGCGGTCAGCGCTATGAATTCGCTCGTTCCAAAGCTGGAGACGTGGTCCAACTCGCATTTGTCCGCATTCGAGCCCACCAAAACAGAAGCGACCATCTTCCTCCCCTCCTCGTGCGCCATGCCTCCCAACCTGCCGCGTGTTGTCCTCCGCGACCATCGCATCGAGTTCAAACCCGCCCTGACGATGCTCGGCACGAACTCGACAGCCGACTCACCTTCCGCGATCGCATCACCGCCTGCGCCGCCCGCACCACCACATTGACAACCGCCATATCCCTACTTGCCCGCTCAAAAGCTGGGCTGGCGCCAAAATGGACATGCCAACTTGTTGTCGCGTGCATTTGGCCGAGATTGATGTGGTCTGCGGCAGCATGGTACGACCCTGCGAGGGGAAAGGACAAGACAAGGGAGTTAGTAGGTGTTCAGAAAGCTGCGGCAATGGCGGTGACAGGAGGTTTTTGCTCAGCGGCTGGCGAAGCCCTCGAGATCGAAGCCGGCCTCCTCCCAGTCCACCTCCAGCGCCAGAACCAGCTGTTCCAACGTGCCCTCCGGGCTCTCTCCGCCTCCCCCTCACACCCGCTGCACCATCGCGCCCTTGCCGCCCAACACCGTCCCTTGCACGCGTCACACCGCTCGTCAACCCACTTCTCCCTCCCGACCTTGTCGTCGAGCCCATCCACCTGGACCCCATTCCTCCCTGGTTGCCCAATCCCGCCCCTCGAGTTGACGTGGCCCGGGGGAAAGAACTCGGGACGTACGAGCACGAGCAGGTCGTCCGAGACCTCCAGCCGGGCTCCCACCTCGTCTACACGGACGGGTCCATGGGCAACGGAGGGTTCATGGGTGCAGGGGTAGCGGCAAAGCTCTGGGATGGCGGTAAGATACGGTTGGCGGAGAAGGAAGAGGTCGAGAC